CCCGCCTGCAGCCCCGACGGGTTTTGCTTGGAGGAGCTGTTTATAAACAGAGCCGGCGTGTGCTAGGAAACATCTGGAGAAGAGCATTTCCAAGCATTCAAACGCCGGGCCCAGGCAGCCCAGATAAAAAACCCTGCTTCCAGCAGGACTTCCCTTGCTGGCCGAGCGCAGGGCTCTGGCTGCACCTCCCCTGCCTCGCAGGCCGGCGGTCACCAGCCCCGGCTTGCAGAGCTGCCACTGCACGCTTCAGAACGCCTCGCTGGGCACAGCTGCCAGGGGGAGAAGGGACCGCTCCACCGATCAGCTGTATTTCACAGGTCCTTCTCTTGCTTTCATGCACAGCAAAGGGCTAACTCTGGGTAGGGGGAAGACTTTGTCCAAACTCATGAACTTCCACTCATTTACTTCAGTCCTGGGTCATGGGACAACCGCATGAGATGAGCTGGAAACTGCTGGTAAAGCAGCAGGGTGCACTTGCTGGCACGAAAGGCAGGGTGGAGGAGTTACTGTCAGCTGTGTGACCAACAGCAAGCCCGAAGCGCTGGCCCCACAGGCAGCAGACTGGGCTTGCGTTCCTGTACCCACCTGAGATGTTCAAGAGGTCGCAACCTGGCCACGCCGGCCGTGCAGCTGCTGACGTGCCAAAATGCAGACAGCTTGTGGGTTCCCACCCACGCAGCCAGGGAACTGAGGATCCAGGTCAAGACAACATGAGGTGAAGCCAGATGCCAGGCCAGACCCAGGGCGGCTGTGGCCGGAGGACGCTCCTGGAAGCTGGTGCCGCTGCGCACCATGCACCTGCACTGCACAAGGCTGAGCAGGGCAGTGCCCGGGGAGGAAGGGTGCACGGCCTCCCCCTCACCAAAGGGGGAAGCGAAGCCAATACCCACTGGACAAATCTGCAAAAATAAGGGGTCTGCAAGATTCTGGATGCAATAAACATTCCTGGACCAGTAAACTCCTTGCTGGAGCTCACTGGTTTGCTCCCACCTCTTGCCGGTGCTGGCAGCGCTTGGGCCAGTTGCCTGGGAGAGCAGGACGGGCAGCAGCGGTGGGCTGAGGACACACTTAGTCACTAAGCCTCTCTCATGGGGGTCAGGGGCTGGGGGGACAGGGAGCCCCAGCCAGCTGGGCATGGGGCTCCCGGCGCAGAAGGGAAGCAGGGGCTGCCGGCCGGCCCTCTCTGCACCACTCCAACGGCAGGCCCCCCCGCCC